CACACAAAAATCAAATGGGAAGCAGATGCCCTTGTAAACAAATGGTGCTGGAAAAACTGGATGTCAGCCTGAAGAATAAACCAAGACCTTTACCTCACCCCATACACAAGGACAAATTCAAGGTGGATCACAAACCTGGTGGTAAAACCCAAAACTATCAGGCTCATCGATGAAAAGATAGGGACAAAGCGAAGAACCTTAATGCGTAGAATATATGGGCTATCAGCAATAATGGAGGATGCTGACCCAGAGGAAGCAAACATAGATGTGTGGGACATACTTAAGATGAAACACTTGTGTGCATCCAAAGACTTCATCAAGAGATTGGTGAGAAAGCCCATAGACTGGGAAAAGATATTTAGTAATGACATTTCAGACAAAGGTTTTATTTCTAAAATCTACAGAACCCTGCAACTTTACAATAAGAAATAAAAAAAAGAAGATCTGAACAGAACATTCACAAAGCAGGAAACCCAAATGGCCAATAAGCATGAGAAAATATTCCACATCATTAGCCATCTGGGAAATGCAAATCAAAACAACCACGAGACACCACCTAAGCACCCACAAGGATAGTCCAATTCAAGAAAACAGAAAGTAACAAATATTTGTGTGTGTGTGTGGTGAGATAGGAACTCTCATTCAGTGCTGGTGGTCTTCTAGATACGCACAGCCACTGTGAAAAGCGATTTGGCGATCCCTAAAACAGATGGAAATCGAGTTACCTTAAGACCCAGCAATTCCATTACTGGGCATATACCCAGAAGAAATAAGAAGCAGGTCATGACCAGACACCTGCGCTCCAAGGTTCATTGTTGCATAGTTCACAATCACAAAGACTTTGAAACAGCCTAAGTTTCCATCACTAAATGAATGGATTAAAAGACACATTATATAACCCAATGGAGACGTACTACACATCCCTAAAAAGAGTGAAGAAACGATGAGGCACCTCATCTCATGGAAAAAATTGGGGAATATTGGGTAGAACAAAGTCAGCCAAGCACAAAAGGACAAGTACAACCTGAGTCCACTGAGGTAAGTTCAAACAACAGAGCAGGCATAGGGGGAAATGTATATATCACAGTTCCCAGGCTGAGGACCAGCTACTCTGGCAAAAGCCAGACTAAACACAATAAAGCATATGTCATCAAAAGAGAAAAGAAAAAATTTTTTTTAATGCAGCAGCAATGGTGCAGAAGGACACTCCCTGTCTCTCACATGCACACATATGCCTTTAAGGCCCATAGAAGGGTGGAGGGATCAAAGATGGCAATGGGGGACAAGGGCACTAATCCACCCCAGGGGAGGGTATTGTTTATGTCTCCACAGGAGAGAGAGAGAATCCATTCCAGTGGGCAAGCCTTGAGGGTAACATTCCTACTTGGCGCAGCTCATCCGCAGAGAGGACTGCAGAGCTGCCCACAGCTCCTGACATGACTTCCCCTCCCTAGACGGCAGCATGACAGAGAACACTGAAGTCACAGTTTGGGAGAGCAGCTGACAAGGCCAGCCCACGTGGGGGGAAACCAAGAGGGGGGAAACAGACCAGCAATGGGAGCAAACACACCAAGGCCCTGAGGAGTCTTGATAACAGACGTCAGACTTGGGGGCAGCACTTGGCACCCCATCTGAACTGGTTGGGGGATATTCACAAGGGGGTCTGACTGAGAGTTAACGGGGTGGGGGATGGAGCACTAGACCTCCCCGGCCTTGCCTTCAGGAAGAGCAATAGGGTCTTGTGGAAGGCGCGCCCCTTGGACCCAAACACTGAGGACTAAAAGGGTGTAAG